CACATCCACCTCCACTTTCTGTAGAACTCTTCCTAGAAGACTGAAAGAAGGAAATGCATAGTATAAAGTTTCCTATGACCATGTCAAGCTAAAAGCATCTCCAGCTTTAGCTGTAGGATCAGACAGATCTGACACATATTCATTCACTTGTGCATTGAGTCGAGAGGCAAATAGGTCTATGTCTGGTATCCCAAACTTGTCACACACATCTTGAAAAACAAGTACATTTAAGCTCCACTCGATGTCATCAGAAATCTTTCTAGACAATCTGTCAGCCTCTATATTAGTAACCCCTGGTAAGTAGCACACAGACAACCAGANAGACAGATATGACACAAATTCATTCACTTGTGCATTGAGTCGAGAGGCAAATAGGTTTATGTCTGGTATCCCAAACGTGTCAGACACATCTTGAAAAACATGTACATTTAAGCTCCACTCGATGTCATCAAAAATCTTTCTAGACAATCTGTCAGCCTCTATATTAGTAACCCCTGGTAAGTAGCACACAGACAACCAGATGTCGCGTTCCTTGCACCATAACCACATTTCTCTACTCAAGTCATGCATGTGAGGTTTTTTTACCTCTCATATTATTAAGGTAATTTACTGCCACAGTATTGTTCATATATAATCGCACATGAATGTTACGTTTTGAACTACAGAAACACTGCAGGGTTAGAAAAGCTGCATATAATTCAAGGTAATTAATGTGCCGTTGTTGTTCATTGGCATACCAATGTCCCCCTGTCCGTAACTGATCATTACCGTCATCTTTAACTAGTCCTCCCCACCCTGTGCCTGAGCTGTCAGTCTCAAGAATGAGGTCAGGGGGCCGCGATACACTGGATGAGCACTCCTGTGAATGTTATCAATCCACCATAACACCTGCTCCCTGGCTGCAGATGAAATACTAATAAGCTGATTAAAATCACCTTTAGTTTCCTTAAGGGCATGGTCTTTTTCATGCTTCAATGTTTTATGAAATAAGGGGGCATGTGGTACTGCAGGAGCACAGGCAACCATTTTCCCAATGACTTGTGCCAGGTGTCGTATGGTCGTTGTCTTTGTTTTGAGAAGTTCTTTACACACATGGACTACATTGTCAGCTTTTTCACTTGTTAAACTTACTGTCATAGTTTCAGATTTCAACACGAAGCCGAGGAACGTTATTTTACGGATTTTACTGGGTGAATAGTAAGACCTAATGAATCCATAGTATAGACAGTATCTTCTATGTTAGCCACACATTGGTCATAAGAATCTGCTTGCAGTAAACTGTCATCAATATATGCTATATTAGCATGACCCATTTTTCGTAAATGAGAAAACACAGGTTTCATTATCTTCGTAAACACTCGGGGAGTGGAAGACAACCCATTTGGAAGGCAGGTAAACTGATAACACACACCTCCCCAGAAAAAACGGAGGTATTTTCTGTCTTTACTATTAATTGGCACAGAATAGTAGGCATCTTTTAAATCAATGGAGGCAAACCAACAATGTCTTGTCATTAAATGTATGCCCGCTTTGGACCGAAGTTTACTAATTTCAGCATCAATAAAGACCTGTTCCACTGCTGAAAAATGGATTAGGTGTGAGAGCGTCCTTTGAACAGGAATATTGGCAAGCTCAATATGATAACCTTGTATCCGAGTCAATAACCAGCTGTCAGATGTAATAGCCTTCCACTGATGGAGGAACTGTGAGATATTCCCACCCCGAAAGGTTTCAGGTGTGTTAGCTAATGTCTTGATGTCAAGCACACAATTATCATTGTCTACAAAAGTGTTACTTACAAGCATTGTAGTACAAGAGGTCATCATAGTCATTTCTTTTGGTTCTTGGGGTAGCGATTCTCTAAAAAAAGAACCCCTAGAACTGTGTCCATGGCCTCTGCCCCTGGAGTGTGGTTTAGAGCATGACTGGTTGTAATTAGTTGATCCTTGGTAGACATGGCCATGTCCTCGTCTGGAAGAAGAAGCATCCATCTATTAATGTTAGGAAAAGGTGAATATCTGTGCCGTCTTTGTGTCTTTGTAACTGTTTTGCTCACATGTTGAGCGCCAGTAGTAATCTTGATTTGTTTGTCCGAATCATCCCCAAACATGCTGTCAGTGATAGGGTTGTCAGAGGAGCACAAAGCCTTGTATTCTGAGGAAAGTTCAGGACGCAATGCAAATCTCCGCCTGTGAGACATATCAGTGAATGCCAGCTGTAATACTTTGAAAGATTCATTTGCTAATGTAAAACAGGATTTCACAGCATTATTGTCAAGGCCGGTTTTAGTTCCTTTTAACAGATTGTCTGTAAGGTGCAGTAGAGGGAAGAATGCCTTACAGAGAAGACTCTGTGAATTTTGCGCCTTTATGTCAATGTCCCTGGCCTTCCTGGACAAGCTTGTCCATATGCCCTTATTGACACGAGGAACTATCAGGTTATCACAATTACCTGGCCTCAAGTGTTTATTGAGAAGGTCTTTCCTTTAATCTTCCCCGATTTGGGATCTGATTCACTCGGTCACAATTTTCGCCAGTTTCTCGTCAATATTTGGAGAACACTTTTCGCGTTGTTCATAAAACAGTTCCATGTCTCCCATTATGTTTTCACGGTCTTTGAGACCTTCGGTATTATCAGGTTCAATGTCCTGGCCGAATTCCTCACCCGGGCGTCATAATCTTCCTCACTCATACTGTGAGTATCCCGAGCGACACATGTCGTTATCGACGAGCGGGTCAATGTCCAACAAGTCCGCAAAGGAATGCACAGACGGTGCATAATTGTCGTCACTAACCGAAGCTGTGCTAGGACATCCATGGTTGGAATGACTGCGGTAATTTGCACTGTTTTCAGCCAATGTAGTCATTAAACTTAACATGGCTTTGTTCTGTTGCAGCAGTTGTTGTATTGTTACAGAAGCGGAAGTCACAGAACCTGAAGAAGCGGGAGTCTCGCCGAGATCCCGCGTGAACTCATTTGCATAATTTATAATTGAAGACGAAGGCCGCCTTCCACATTATGCACTATGGCTTCAACCGTGCAGACATCGTCTGACACAAAGTTCTGGGTCGCAGTGGACCATCCAGGTGACACGTTAGACCCCGAATTGGGCATGCGCACCAATTTAGTCCCAGAATTGGGCTCCATCGCTGTCACCAGAATTGGCGTTAGCAGCGTACAGTTCAATCGATGGGTCAGAGTCAGTGACCCGAACAAAGGAATTTCAAACAAACCTCGTATCGCAAGCATGTGCTGGTAGCACGGTCCAAATCGTAGGGAATAAGTCCTTGAACAACAGTCTATCTTGGGTAGAATAAAACGAAGCTTCGAAATATATAAATAACGATGAAAAAGTAATGTTATATGAATAAGAAAACACGTCTGTCTGAACCGAAAACTCTCTAAGCACTGAACCACGTGACCTCTACGTCATCTCGAGGGGTCCCTCAGTAGGTTGATTTTACAGAATAGGACTTTTATGGATACTGCATGTGTACAAACACATCCGTCCGAATTCATCATAATTCTGTAGCTAAATATACCCTAGATGTATACAACGAAAGGTATGTAGATTTTCCATCAAGTCCATGAGCCCTACAAATATTGACACCTTTTCACAAAACCAATTACAGTTTTCCTAGCAATATACAAAAAGTAAAATCCGCAAGTTGTGCGGAATGCTCAACATCCGACAACTATTGAACATCGTATCAACGAGCATTTGTATAAACCATACTCATACAGGAAGAGTCAACAGCAACACTATTCGCTAAAAGTAAAACAGACCTAACCAAAGATATATGATACTCCGATTGTGCGCTTTCGTTCCTCATGCAAAAATGACATTTGCATACCACGGATCAGAAACATATCAAGCGGTGTAGTTTATACGTATCTGCACGGATAAACCTTTTATCTACGGGGGCACTTTCAAAGTCAATAGTATAGGGTATATAAAACCGTCCTATATTCTATACGATTCTGAAGGTTTCTGAGGAGAGGTGAACGGCAAGGAATTATCCAATCAAATCCAACTTGTTTTTGGTGTCGTCTAGAGTAAGAACATCCCTAGAGATGTGTTAACCCATGACGTGAAAAACAGTGATGTTTTTGTTGAACTCTTCACAATTATGATTAATCAATAACTGTTAATTGATTACTAATATACGAAAAATATAGGTCGCAGTGACTTTCATTATAATATTACTCCTGAAAATGATTCCAGCTATAAAGTTTGATAAATGTTGAAATCATGTACAAGAAGAATTGAGCAAACCACAAAGGCAAAAATCAAAATGTCTTTCAGGCCCGGTTGCTCAAAGGATGCTTAATTTTAACCAGTGGTTTATAAAAAAAAAATGTTGCAGTGAAAAAGCAAGGGTTTCAAACACCTAATTTTTTTTTCTTCAATAAATCTTCATCAGTGAAATTTTATTAGATGTTCTTGATTGTGTTGTATTCATATTTTAAAACTATGGTTTAACCACTGGTTATCACTAGTTAACCTGTCAGCAGCTTGAGTCAGATGGACGGAACGACGTCAAAAGAAAATACCTACCATTACACATGTATGTCTCAGGGGCCAAGAACACAGTCTCACAAACCTTTCCGGCTCGTCTTCCATACATTATATGACCCGATCAGCGTCAAACGACTAGCTACTTCCTGGTCTGCTGTCTCGTGATAGAACGCTATACTGGTATACATTTTACTGTAACGATATTTTTCAATGTTTGTTTGTTGTTGTTTAAACAGCGCATAGCTATAATTTAATTTTATATGAAACGCTTCAACGACAAACTTCTGTTTCAATCACTTCTTATAGAAAAGAAGATCTTGGGTAGTTCCTCCTTCAAAGATGTATGTGTTTAACCCCCATGTTTATTCGCCACTAAGATACAGATGAAAAGTGAATAAAAAACACATGTCTATCTATATAGTACATTTCGAGCATCGGTATCTAGAGCATATGAAAATAATAGGAAAAACGACACCGCGTCGAGAAAAATGAGTCATTTATTTCTGTTTATAAGATATTACAGGGGCATTTTGAGGAAAAGATGACATACAACACATTTCATTGATATTAAGTGAATTGAAAACAAGTCAAAGTGGGAGGTGGAAAGTAAGAGAAAATGCATGTCTATTCATATTACTTTTCTAACTAGGTATCTAAAAGACATAGACACTCAGACTCAATTATCTTGAGCCGAGACAAATATGCCCTTTATTTCTGATAAAAAAACCTTTTCTTTGTTAAAAAGATATTCGAAGAACTTCTTGAGAAAACAAAGGACATACAACATTCATAATTTGGCAAAAAATGAAATTCTGTTCCATTTCACGTACGTCATCGTTACGTCATCATGTGTTATTTCTGATGATGTATTGCTTCATATCAAGGATTGCTGATATTGAAAATAAATATTGTGAAATAAGATATTTTCACGGGGTCCCAATTCGTGGTTTCTTGACAAACTAGTTCGTGGTTACATAAAATCGTTGAGTACGAGTTCCCACTCATAAGGGAATAGCTTACGAAATTGGGGAAAGATCCGTTCAGTTGGTCTTGAAAAATATCTGTAACAAGCTTTAACTGCTTAAACCCCTGATGACTGCGTGGTTGCCATATTCTTACCATTATCAAAACAATCAAACATGCACATGTCCATCTAAGAATATAAACCGGAACCTCTACATGAAATTTAATCAGAGAAAGATCTGTCTAGTGCTTCCTGGAAAATAGCGACATCAATCAAAATCCAATATAGCCCTCTTGCAGCCATCTTTTTCGTCCAAATCTGTCTAATAAAAAAAATGAAAACTAAATCTGAGGATAAAGTGGAACCTACATGAGGATGAAAATCCAATGTGGGTGCAAAGTGGCTATCTTATTCTGCAAGTTAGTCTCAAAATGAAATATGCCCAACTAATGACCTAAAGAAACATAATTGTGTAATACGATTTGAGAAAGATGAGTCCAGTGCCTCCTGCAAATAAGTGATAACAAATCTGAACTGTCGAATTCTAGACGGCTACCTGGTGGCTATCTTATTATTCCGATCGGTACGATGGGTGGGTGATATTGGGATCCATGACTAGGTCATAACCATTATCTTTAAAAAGGACATGACATTATAATGGTGACTGTGTTTTATTTGAACAAATACAAATCAATCTGAAAATCGATCGACAATTACGTTCAAAACAGCACAGCCCCATCAAACATGCTACACAAAGGCATGTTTATAAAAGAGCTTTCTTCACTCACATATCGTACCTCACTCTTATGTCTACTCTAGGATTGCTACTACCACATTCATGGCCTTATTTCTGAACCATTTCTCATTCTTATGTGTTCCAACATGTTTTCTTGTACCCCCTGAAAGCATGCGATCTGGTCGAAAATTTAACCTGAACATTGAAAATTATATTTCAAGTATTCCAAAAAGTTCTTTCAATTTTTAGGGTTTTTTAATATTAAACTTGAAAAGTACATTACTTTAACAAGGGATTGAGCTAAAGAACAGAACAAGTGTTGGAGCATCAGCATGGTTTCATGAATACAGGTCCCGGTACTAAACATTGACATTAATGCATTCCTGATTTAAGCATCAAGTCAGTTTCCGATACATCAATTAAATTGAATACACGTTTTCACGAGTAAGATTTATTTGATCGAAGCGCTTAATCTCTTGCACCACTAGAAACAGTCATGTTTTCTCTTTGAGCTCTTCCCAGAGTCAAGACCTTTGTATGGCATCTAGCCTCTCTTTGGCGGGGTTATACTCTTGTAAAACTGCAGGTGAACTGATGGAGTCCATGAAAGCCTTAATAGCTCTGCGATTGTCTCCTACCGTTTGATAACATATTCCGAGAAGAGTGTGCACTATCCAGTGTCCGTGTCCTCCTTGCTGCTCATCGTACTTGACTACTATCATGTCACGTAATGCTGCATCACGTCCTCCTGTGTCCTTGAGCTCGTGGTAACACAGGAAGGACAGGAAGACAGCATATGGTAGCGGAGGTAAAGGCATGCCAATAGGGCATTTTGAAATCTCTAGGTGAAAGTGTGGAAGGCAGAACTGTTCTTCTAATTTAAGTTCCGGTGTATATGTCATCCTCAGTTTGTGGTACAAATTAAATCCTTTACCACAGAATTCACGTAGGTATCTTGTTGCTTGTCTTTGATTGAGTGCAGATATGTCAAAATAACAATTTGGCATTGCCTGTCTACAAATCTCTAGTGCTTTTCTGTAGGATCCTGAATGGAAGTGAAAAGTTGCCAGATACAAGAGATCTGTGCCAATAGAAGCTCTTGGTAAAAGCAAGTACTTACATTTTTTCAGACTTTTGTATTTGGCCTTGTTGCCAGTAGCAACCATGCAATCTGGATACATTTCCATTGCCATTGTGGAGAGTGTAACGCATGTCTTGTGGTAGGCAAAACATTCATCGTCCTCTGACTGCGACTTAAGAAGTAAATCCACTGCCTTACACATCTGCATCCCTGTTTTTGAAGTGCTATTTATCGTGGCATCCATTTTCAAACATTCCATTATGCCTACATCATGCTGCCATTCAATGCTTTCTGATGTTTGAGGGCGTAACAAATCATGTTGTACCCTGTCAATTGATAATTGTTCTAAGATGGATGGCCCAAAGAATTTCACAACGGACAGACACATCCATTTTCTCTGGTGAAATTCGTTTAGAATTTGAAATAACTTCGCCTGATTTTGTACATGAACCGGTCGACTAAACATGTTTTTGGCTTGAACGAAGAAATTTGGGCAGTAGCCCGAATTTACCCAAGATAACAATATGTTGTAGCAAAACCAAAAACAGAAAAACAAATTCTGTTCTTGCCAAAAGCTTTGATGAGAGTTTTCAACTGCAAAAAATATAGCAGTTTTCATGAAATAGGAGTTCAGTATATCATCATTTCCCATAATTTCGTTCAATGTCTGTTTGATTTGTTGCAAGAGATATTTTAGCAGAAGATATACTTTCCATTGAATGTTAGTTAGTGAGTGAACTAGACTTCTCTCTGCTGCTGCAAAGGATATCTTCCACAGCAAAAACGGATCCACGGAATTATTGTCTCCAATTGGCAAAAGCTCACAACCATCGTGCATAATCCTGTCCACCAGTTTTCTAGAAGGCCACCCATACAAACGAGTACGAGTTGTCCATTCATAGGCCTCCCAAGGCCAGCTATCCCACTTTAGACAAACAATCACATCCAAAGACCTGGCTGTAGCTGCAAGGGGGGATACTGATTGTTTCGATATAGCCTCCATTCTTGTCGTGTAACCCTTTACAATATCTACAGTTTGGCTTCTATACATCTCACTGCCTACAAACTTTGTGTCTCCAACAGAAACAAGTGATTTGGTTAACCAGCCATTGTAATTTTCTCCCAGGTGACCCAGCTGTAAGAACCTGTACCCAGGTGGGCAGTCAGTATCTTTAATGTAAAGGACAGTCTTGTGCATACTGTCTACAGGAATACTTTGTCCTGGTAATAAAACCACAACCAGTTTGTCCACAAACATGACATCAGTGTCTGAAGATACGTCCGTACTCGTCCCATCAAATCCAACACGAAACACCTCTACGTTACCACAACCAGCATTGTGTACACTTTCATGTAAGAGCTGTGCTTTCATCCTGCAACCAACACCCTCCTCTGCGCCAACTTTCCTGTCTATATACCTTGACAAAAGCACAGACAGTCTCTGACTCTCTCCTGGGTCTCTTGGGTTCATCATAGTCGCCATCAGTGTGATCTGAAATAGAAAAGGTTTGTTAATAAAGGAAACAAATTGGCAGAGTGGGTCTTTGGCAAACTAAAGTATAACACCATATATTTAACTTCAATGTTCATCTATGCAGTTTAAATACTATACAACCCTATCCCTCCCCCAAAAAGATGGGGGGGGGGGCAACTGCTCTACATGTCCCATCCCTCCCCTTCAGGCTAGTCGGTACATGATAGGCCTTTATGGTTAAAATCTCCCTATTGAATGTATGGACTATTTTGATTATATCATCATTTTCCATCTCCGACCATGTTTGGTCATTATCAATGGAAAATATGCTTAAACAAACTGTGTGTATCAGGCTGTAGCTGTGTGTATCAGGCTGTAGCTGTGTGTATCAGGCTGTAGCAGTGTGTATCATGGCTGATTGTTCGAGAAATGTTACGCATAGCTCACCTGAGCGAAAGGATAAGTGAACACATCTTGCTGGAAAAGAGTCAGTTTCAAACTTTAGGAAAAAGCTGTCTTTTTAATGTACAATATATAATGTGATCTTAATGTTCAACATACAATGTGATCCAGAATCAGTATAACTTTTTTAATCCACGCTTACATAATTTAATAGCACATTGATGGGTGAGCCAATTGCTGCTTAAAATGAGCTATAAATGATTTGCCCTAATTAGTGTTCAGGGCATGAATTATCAATGTATTATGTAGGTATGATTCGTATATAATAATATGGTTTACAGTAGACAAATTTTATTTGATAATTTGTATATTCATATTTATAATGATAGGATTTAGAAATATTTAATGTAATAAATTTATATTTATGTACATTACGTACAATTGTATATATTTCATCTCAAAGTTCAATCCTATATGGCTCATTTTACGGACGACAAATACGATTAATTATAAACATAGTTTAAACTTTGCTTAACTAACATCACATATGACACAATAAGTTAATTTGAAAATAAATAAAATAGATAAATAAATTTTAAAAAAGCTGAAACAGAAAAAAATCTCAAAAAAAGCAAAATCTTGTACAATTTGAAAATTTGAACAAAAGGCCCAATGGTAGCCCTTCATCCCAGCATAATACTGGCCAAATATCATCACCTTAAGCCTATTGGTTATTCAGAAGAATTTGTTTAAAGGTTTTGATCCCTGTGACCTTGGGTATCAGGCAAGGTCATTTATTTGAACAAACTAGGTAGTCATTCATCCCAGTATGTTACTGGCCAAATATCATCATCCTATGTCTCTTGGTTATTCAGCAGATGTTGTTAAAAGGCTTTAATCATATTTGACCCCTGTGACCTTGAACATAGATCAATGTCATTCATTTGAACAAACTTGGTAGCCCAAGTTGTAGCCCTTCATCCCAGCATGTTACTGGCAAAATATCATCACCCTAGGCATCTTGGTTATTCAGAACCTTTGAATTGGAAGAGTCCAAATTTGTCTTCAGGGGTGAATGAGTTAATAGTATTCTTTTGTCACGTTTAACTATGTACAGACTTGTAAATATAATTTACTTGATATTAAAGTTGTACTTTATACACAAACAATGTATGTATTAAATGTGTCACAACGTTTCCAGAACGTTTGGTCTCTTTGTCATAGCTGTTTATAGTTATGACAAAGGGACCAGCTGGTCTTGAAACGTCATAACACGTTTATAATACGTAAAATTGTTTGTGTATTAAGTAAAACTTTGATCATACAAATTTCCAAACTGATGAAGCTTACTGAAGGATTAATTTATTTGGCTTGACTTGAATCGGTAATGAGAGGTCTTCTATATCTAATACTTAGGTATAAACATGTCCTGGTATGCAAGTTTACATTAATGAGCGTTTAGAATTTAGATAAAGAAAAAAAAAATAGTTTTAGGATGACAAATTACTTATTTAAGAATCCCGTACCACTGCAAAAAAAAAATAACGAAGTAGTGGATTTTTTTTCCAGAATGACTCTAGCTTTGATAAATAATTAATGAAAGAAAAAAACATTTGTTGTGGAGAAAAAAAATAAAGAAAAAGGAAAAAATGCAGTTTTACCAGGATTCGAACCTGGACCACTATTCTGGACCACTGACCTGGACCACTAATCTGGACCACTAACCTGGACCACTAACCTAAACCACTAATCTGGACCACTAATCTGGACCCCTAACCTGGATCATTAAACCTGGACCACTAACCTGGACCACTAACCTGGATCACTAATCCGGACCATTAACCTGGACCACTAACCTGGACCACTATCCAGTGGACCACTAATCTGGACCACTAATCTGGACCACTAATCTGATCACTAACCCGGACCATTAACCTGGACCACTAACTAGGACCATTAACCTTGACTACTAATCTGGACCACTAACCTGGACGACTTATCTGGACCATTAGCCTGGACCACTAGCCTGGACCATTAACCTGGACAACTAATCTCGATCACTAACCAGGACCACTAACCTGGACCACTAACATGGACCATTAACCGGGACCACTGATCTGGACTCCTATCCCGGACCATTAAGCTGGACCACTAACCCGGACCATTAACCTGGACGGCTGATATGGACGACTAACCCGGACCATTAACCTGGACCACTAATCTGGACCACTAACCCGGACTACTAACCTGGACCATTAACCTTGACCACTAATCTGATCACTAACCCGGACCATTAACCCGGACCACTAACCTTGACCACTAATCTGGACCACTAACCTTGACCATTAACCTGGACCACTAATCTGGACCACTAACCCGGACTACTAACCTGGACCATTAACCTTGACCACTAACCCGGTCCATTAACCCGGACCACTAACCTGGACCACTAACCTGGACCATTAACCCGGACCACTAACCTGGACCACTAACCAGGACCATTAACCTTGACTACTAATCTGGACCACTAACCTGGACGACTTATCAGGACCATTAGCCTGGACCACTAACCTGGACCATTAACCTGGAGCACTAATCTGGACCACTAACCTGGACCATTAGCCTGGACCACTAATCTGGACCACTAACCTGGACCACTAACCCGGACCACTAACCTGGACCACTAACCTGGACCATTAACCTGGACCACTAATATGGACCACTAACCCGGACCATTAACCTGGACCACTAACCTGGATCACTAACCTGGACCATTAACCTGAACCACTAATCTGGATAACTAACCTGGACCACTAATCTGGATCACTAACCCGGACCATTAACCTTGACCACTAATCTGGACCACTAATCTGGATCATTAACCTGGACCACTAACCTGGACCATTAACCTGGACCACTAATCTGGACCATTAACCTGGACCATTAACCTGGACCACTAACCTGGACCACTAACCCGGACCATTAACCCGGACCACTAACCTGGAACACTAACCTGGACCACTAACCTGGACCACTAACCTGGACCACTAACCTGGACCACTAACCTGGACCACTAACCCAGACTACTAACCTGGACCATTAACCTTGACCACTAATCTGATCACTAACCCGGACCATTAACCTGGACCATTAACCTGGACCACTAACCTGGACCACTAACCCGGACCATTAATCTGGACCATTAACCTGGACCACTAATCTGGACCACTTACCTGGACCACTAATCTGGACCATTAACCTGGATCACTAATCTGGATCACTAATCTGGACCACTAACCTGGACCACTAATCACTATTAACTGTCAATCTTTAGCTAGTTGACAGCAGTTTCCTAGCTCAGTACATGTATAACAAAAATAACATTTATAGGTAAACTAACGTGATTATTGTTAGTTTTTTGCCTGCAATGGGACATGAGGCCTTAAAATTACACTTAAATGTAAATTTCCGATTTATGCCGTAGTCATTGAAAAATGCTTGAGGAAGCAAGAAATAAAATGATTTTTAATGAAGTTTATCATGATACACAGAAAAATCTAAATTTCTTCATTGAACACTAATTGTTCCATGAAAATGTAAGATATTTAATTAAGGATCCTGATACCACTGCCAGAAACTGTAATTATGGACTTTTTTTAACCTGCAAGACAACAGCTTTGATATATTATTTCTGGACAGAAACCTAGGTCTATATGTTTTAAAAAAATCAAAGATGAATAGAGAATATAAACAACAGTTTTCTTCAAGTAAAACTACAACGGAGAAGGATTTGGATTCAAACCCTGGACCTCAGATATCTAACCAACTGAGCTTCCTGATCAACAGTAGTCAACTGTCACTCAGTCCCGCGACTACAGTTATACACGAAATAAAATGAAGGAGATTACTGAATACAGTGTGATGACATTCTTGACTCTAGTGCTAAATTCCTTCAGTGGGACAGGGACCTTAATGTCAATTTATATATATATTTAATTATTTCCCTTGACAGAAACCGTCAACTTTGTTAACACATATATAAGATAAGGACTATCGATACATATATAAAATATTTATACACAACATAAGACTAATAACACCCAACATAACAGCCTCAAAATGTACATATGCATATATATACTATGTACAATTTATACGTAAATTTCCCCAAGAAAAAAAATCCATCACTAACAATTTCCCTCTGAGATTGAAATTTCTCTTTTGTATAATTTCCTTATCTGAAAATTTTCTTCCTGATTTAGAGAATTTCGAAATCCTTTACATGTATAGAATTAAAGATCCATGTACTGCTGCCGAAAGTTTGTAACTATCCATTGAAAATCTTTCCCCGATATAACAATAGATTTGGTAAATTACTTCTCAAAAGAAAAAACCAAAGGAAATCATGCGAACTATTTAAAGAAGTTATAAAAATGAAATAAATAACTAAAATGTTCTGAATGTAAAAAATAATGGGAATCATAGGATCTCCAATCCCTGACTGTACTGTGCTACCTGATACTAGTAATCCACCAGGTTGTGCCCCATACCAGTTATTTATTTCCAAAATGAATTTAAGGGGAGGTAACTATATGTACAAAAAAGTAGTGGAATTCTCTTGGTGTTAGCTTTGCTAGCAGAAGCTCCCATATATAGAGTTTGGAAAGAATTTATATTGTTTTAACTACTTTGAATGTCATGAAGTGTAGATCTTTCTGAAAAATGTGAAAACTTCTCAAAATTCCCACAGAATCACCCTTTTCCAGCGTAGGCTAAACGTTATAATCATATAATATATATACAAGTACGGCCAAACAAAAATAATTTTGTGTTTATAGAAACCCTGGTAAAATCAAGATCGCTTACCTATAACGATCAAATACAATTATTCATAAAAAGAAAGAAAAAAAATCTACCTACCCTAAATTTTTCAAACATTGTTATCAGGAACATATTTATTTTTTTGTTTGGCTAAGTAATTATAAATGACCCTATATATAAGGTAATGGAGATATAGGGACAATTTACCATACATTGTGGGCCGTGTCAGTATTGATAAAATAGATGCAATATGTTATAACGTATTTCATCTATTTTATCAATACTGACACGTATAGAGTGTATGCCTCACTAGACGTTCCTACTTAACTTAGTTGAACACGTCACTTACATGTCAACATCTCCAGAGTTCAATATTCTTAGACTAGAAAATGTCTGTAAGAGTGATGCCCCCGTCACCTTGTGCAATTTTGTTTCAGTGTTTGATGTTGACGGGAAAGGCATGGGCAACACTATATGCAAGTTTGGTGTGTCGTAATAATATGTGAACATATGTTATAATCTATTATTTGCTATTTATTAAATATATGTTGTTAATGTTGATTGCATTTAATATTACATAATGAACATAATCTTGTCTTTTGATCAATGTATGTAACGGACTAAGGGCGACAACCTGTCCACTTGTACAATAAACACGATGCAAAATGTAAAACTGTTACATCCATATCTATGTAAACATTCGATCCAATCATAAAACATATTTCAATTGTGATATGTGAAGGAAAACACTATACAGAGGCCGGAACGACTAAGGGGCCGGAACTACTAGGGGGCAGGAACTACTAGGGACGGACCGGATAGGGGCCGGAACTACTAGGGGGCCGGACCGGATTAAGGGCGACAACCCGTACACTTGTATAATAAACACAATGCAAAATGTACAACTGTTTAATACATCCGAATGTATGTAAACATTCGATCCATTCATAATACATATAGTTCAATGGTGATATGTAAAGGAAAACGTAAACACTATATAGAGGCCGGAACGACTAAGGGGCCGGAACTACTAGGGACGAACCGGGTAGGGGCCGGAACTAATAGGGGGCCGGACCGGGAAAGGCCGGAACGACTTGATACGATAAAAAGGGTAAAAAAACTAGAAATCCAGAACAACCATGCTCCTTGTCTATTATTTGAGTAATCTATATTTCAACTTACCTTTGTATCGCCAGTCCTCGGTGATGGATGTTCTTAACAAATACAGAACGTAGTGACTGCATACCCATCTTCTTCGCCACGCCAGACACGTCATCAAAGGAATTTCCCTGGTCTAAGTTTAGAATACATGCCATAGGCCTGCCGCGTGATGTTTGTGTTACCATATATACACATGTGAAGGGCCGCATGTGAACGCTACGTGACCAGGACAGGCCATAGTCAGGTGGCCTAGAAGGTTTAGAAGCCACATGTAGCGTACTACAGGGGCTTGTATAGACTTACTTATATGATACAATTATTGGTAAAAATGTATTTCAAGCTCATTTTATAAAAAAAGTCTTTACATCCGGTAATTATATTACACGTTTCTGCTCTAAATCACAGAATATGCGCAAACTAAGATATATGAAAGTTTTATTTTAATTCGGTATAGCACGGACTTAGATAATCTAATTCCGTGGGTATAGTTACAAACTACAAACATAAGCTCTAATGAGCTTTTAACCGAATAAGGTAGGCTAAAAATAATCACTACCCAAGGAACTTATAAATGATGTGCGTAAAATGTACAAAATCATCATTCATTAGATATGTATTTAAAATGCTCACACTATTTATAATTATAGTGCAAAACAAATGTTTTACCATTATGAGTCTTTTAAAGCTAGGTACAACAGATTTTCACTACAGTTTAAAAGACTTTTATTTTACTTAAATAGTTAAAACCTTTACACATCAAAAATGTTTTTGCCATTATGTACCTATAGCTATCTGGATCCTATTTTGGCACTAATGTGCAAAAAGTTATGCACGATTTTTTCCATTATGTAATACTTTTGCATTTAAATAGCATAGGTATATATGCTAAATTTTTGACTGAAGTTTAAATATATGTTTTGCCATTACGTGTATTTTTAGTTTTGCAACTGTGTTCATCATGAGTAATTAACATGAACAGTTGGAAATTACAACAAATACCTTTTTGGCCATAGTTTATCACGAAACTTTTTTGCTGTTAAAATTTCTGCAATTATGTGAGTTTAACTGTTTGCCATTATCACGGAATTAGAATTTTTTTTCACTTAAATACAAACTATTTAGAGCCCTATTTTGATGAAGCCGTTGATGGCTTAAAATCTACGCAACAATATAAAAATACATTTTCTGGGGACATAATATTAATATTTTAGAAACTTTCTTCAGGCAATCGATTTCACAAAGAGTTTTTATGATCACAAGGAGCTAAATCTCGCTTAAAATCTTAGAATTGTACTTTCCGGATAAAGTTCAACAGAAGTTTTATCCCTCTATTCCAGTAAACATTGCTCTTAAAAAACATGAGAACAAACGTGTTTCTTTATGCATTCAGATTTTAACTTCGTTCAGTGGTTTCTCAAAATAATTGAACAATTTCCTATAATCTTTAGTTCATTATTACCAAGGTAGAACCTTTCATCTGCTTTATATGTTATCCTTTTTTCTTATAAAAGTTAACTGTCTCAAGTCATTAATAATTTTCTGAAAGGATTTTAGATTACCTATATTTTAGATTACCTATATTTTTAAGAAAACGTTTTTTTGGTGTTTTTTTTTATTATTAACCTCGAGTCAACGTACTCATGGATGTAATACATATATTACAAGATAAGCACAACATGTTATACAATACAATACAGAATAACATATGGACATAGGTTAAGAGGAGAGTGACTCTTTACGTACACTGGTTACCAAATGTAAATGTTTTCCAAGATTAAAAAGTTCCCTTACTTTATTGGTACTTAATAGTTGAGTTAGCTTAAACACACTCGGACTTAAACGATAATATTTCTTTATGTACTTTAACCTTAGATTTTCATAAAATGGACATTTGAAAATAAAATGAAACTCATCTTCAATGTCGCCTAAATTACATCTAGTACACAGTCGATTATGACGGTTTATATTATTCCGCCTCCCGACCTCAATATTTAAACTGTGAGAGGACAGTCTATAGCGAGTAATTTGACGCTTGAATTTTGATTTGATTGGCTTACGCAAATAAAACTGTAAGTCGACATTGTCTATCAGGTGTTGATATAAATACCCCTTTGAAGAATTTGAAATATTTGTTAACATACTTTGTTGTGAAACATCGACCAATCTTTGTTCTATAATCGTTGCCGCAATATTAATAGGTAAGTTTTCCTCAAAGATATACTCCAAACCCATACTAGCTAATTCTTGCCTAATATTAATTAACCAGTTATCATTACCACTTATACGCTCGTCATAGCAAGCTTTTAATATACAGTTATCGCTACATTTCACTTTTAACCAGTATTTAAAAATCCTCAGTTTCCTTTGGACTATATGGGGGANATGTTCACTCTGAATAAATCGTGTTTAAGAGAACTTGATTTGTTTCTTAATCTACAGTGTAAGATGTTAGTTTTCCTGTCACCAAAGAGAAAGAGATGTGAAAAATTTGAAACGTGTTTTTTACGAAGAGTATCTCTAAACGTGCTACTAGTAAAAGTTCCTAACTGTCTAATGTTAGTATCTAAACGGTTCCAGAGTCTTATAGTAGCTGGGAAGAAGGAGTTGTTTGTTATTTGCAGTCGGTTATTGGGTAGCGTGTAATTTTTTGGGAGTTTCTTAGAGTGAATCTGGAGTTTTCAGAATTTAAAGGTGGAAGAAGGTCAGAAAGGTATGGTGGGGCTAGTCCATTGTGTATTTTGTAGAACAAATTTAACTTCCGTCTAGATCTACGGTCAGATAAGGGTTCCCAGCCAGTTTCAGAGTATAGAGATTGTCTGCTTGTATATGAGGGAAGTCCTGTGACTATCCTGGCGGCTTCTGATTGAATTATTTCTAGTTTATCAGCATCTGCAACACTACATCCATCCCATAGTTCACAACAATACTCTAAAGTTGGTAGAATATATGATTTATATATCTTATCTAAAGTCGTGCGATTTAGAGTATACTTTAGCTTTCTTAAAATACCAATAAGTTTTGCAGCCTGTGTTGATATATGTTCGATATGGTGGCTCCATTTACAGTTGAAAGCAAAAAATACACCTAAATGTTTATGGTGGTCAACAAAATCTACACTTTCATTATTAAAATTAATGTCAATAACGTGGTCTAGTTCTATGTTAGAAATCAGCAGAACTTCTGTTTTGGTCTGATTAAATTTGACTAACCATTTATTTGCCCACTGCTGGATAGTGGTAAGATCATTGTTAATTTTGTTTTCAATAACTAGTGGGGATTCATCTGAACATAATAAGGATGTGTCATCAGCAAATAGTTTTGAGATACAATTGAGATTATCAGTAATATCATTAATGTACAAAATGAATAGTAAGGGTCCGAGGACTGAACCTTGAGGAACTCCTGCATTTATTTTCCTTAAAGAAGATCTGCTGTTTCCCACAAAAACTTGTTGTCGTCTGTCAGTAACATAGTCAACTAACCAGTGTAGTAATTTACCTGAAATACCATAGCTGAATAGTTTCACTTCCAGCCCTTTATGCCATACTCTGTCAAAGGCTTTAGATATATCACAAAAAATTAGACAAGTTGGATGTTTTTTTTCTAGATTTTCACAAATTTGATGAAAAATTTCAATAAGTTGATGGACAGTGGAATTACCTGGCTGAAATCCTGATTGGTATTTGTAGATAAGAGAGTTTTCTATCAAATAATTATGTAGGAATTTAGTTACTACTTTTTCGAATACTTTCCCAACTGTACTGAGTAAAGATATAGGTCGGTAATTAGAGGGTTTAGATTTGTCACCTTTTTTAAAACAGGGCATCACTAGAGCATGTTTCCAAGCGTTAGGAAAAAATCCAGTATCGAGAGATGTCCTAGAAATACGAAACAATGGCACTGCGATCGAATGGGCTGTATTTTTTAACATGTTATTACTAATAGTATCAGGACCAACAGCTTTATTAATATTTAGGGATTTCAAAATATCGGTTATGTCATTAGTCGTAAAATATATGTCTGTTAAGGAGGAGTCTGTTCTGGTGCCAGCAGTCGGTACTTCAACGTTAGAATCGTTAATCGTTGATATAGACACAAAATAATCGTTTAGAATGTTAGATTTTGTTTTGTAACATATACAGTTGTCGCTACATTTCACTTTAAACCAGTATTTAAAAATCCTCAGTTTCCTTTGGACTATATGGGGGAATCTACCAAGTTCACAATAAACCAGATCATTATCAGTGCATTGTCTGACTCCCAGATTTTTTTTACAAAAATTTAAATGAACTTGATTTACATCATGTGCTTTGTGAAATCCCCAGATTTCTGAGGCGTAACACAAAATACTTTTACATAAGAGTCAAAAATAGTACACTGAGTTTCAATATTATAACAATAATTGCGTAATGAAGATGTTAAGGCGAACAGTGCATTTCTTCCTTGATCAGCCACATGCTTCTGTGTTTTAAGAAATTTTCCATTATAATTAAAAAGCATACCTAGATATTTGAATTTATCCACGATATCAATGTTTGTATCTTTATAAGACCACGTTTCATTATTTCGTAAGTTACCACCATTTCTAAAAACAACTATTTTGGTTTTAGATATGTTGACTTCCATATCCCATGTGTTACAATAATCCTGTAGGGAGTCCAGCATAGATTGAAGACCTTCTGGTGTTTCTGATATCAGCACCATGTCATCTGCATACATGATCAAAAATAGGTTTATAAGTTGCAGTTCTACACTTGGACAATTGTCTTTTATGAAATTGACCTCAAAATCATTAACATATAAAGAAAATAAAACTGGTGACAGTACTTAGCCCTGTAAAAGTGCAATCTTGTTGCAAAAACTATCACTTAGGACTCCATTATACTTTACACATGATTTAACATTATTATATAGGTCAATCAAAATTTGAAGGAACTTACCTCTGATACCACAATTGATCATTTTACACCATAACTTGCTTCTATTTACAAAATCAAATCTTTTTTAAAGTCTACAAAACAGCAGTACAAACGCTTTTTTTCTTTTTTAGGGACTTATTTATAAGGGTTTGTAAAACAAAAATGGCGTCAGTGGTTGACATTCCAGGTCAGAAAACCAAACTGTGCGTCAGTTAG